TTGGGGGGAGTGCAAGCTTGTACAGCCACTATTGAAATCAGATTGGTGGTACCTCAGAAAGTTGGAAATCAATCTACCTCAAGACCTATTCTTGGGCTTATACCCATCAGATTCTCCATCCTACCTGAAGGACACTTGCTCAACTGCATTCATACCAGCTTTATTCATAATAACTAGAAACTGGAAAATTCTGGGTATTACTCAACTGAATAAGGAATAAAAATGGAGTACATTTGAAAAACCTCAATACCCTCCCCTTTTTTTTGAGACTCAGAATGTTGTCTCAGTGGAAAATTCCCCAAGGTCCCATCCCCTAGACAGGGAACAAGGTTGAATTGGAGTGCTGATGCAGGAACACCGGAAGGCTGTTAAGATAAGTTTAATTTTGACCTTGTGGTTTCTCCAGGAAGGATGAGTTATGCCCACGCTTCTTACAATATCCCTATTGCTTGCCCAGATCTGCACCTGCAGTGGCTCTGCATTTTACAATACCCCTATTGCTTTGCTTGCCAAAATTATGTATATAAAAAGAAAACTGTCCTAAAGCCCAGAGCTCTCAGCTAGCTAAGGCAGCTGGAGTGCCCACAGATGCCTGTGTAAACAATAAACCTCCTGTGGTTTGCATCCAACTGTCTGGTTATTGAGCTCGGGATGTCACTGGGGTAGTCAGCCTGAAGCCTGATAACCTCAAGTCTTTCACATTTAGACAATATTACTCAGTTGTTAGAAAAAGATGACCTCATGAAATCTGCAGGCAAATGAATGGAACTAGAAAAACATCCTGAGACAGGCAACCCAGACCCAGAAAGACAACACATGACCTATACTCACTTATAAGTGAATATTACCTGTTAAGCAAAGGATAATCATGCTACAATCCACAGACCCAGAGAGGCTAAGTGACAAGGAGGGTGCTGAGGGGGGATGCATCAATATCCACTGGAAGGGAAGATAGAACAGATTTTGTGGGTGGACTGGGGGCAAGTTCCAATTATCCCATTCTTACCTGAAGGCCACTAGAATCATACAGGCATGTTAGGAAAAAAGGTCAACAGCCCTTAAGAGATGCTTGATTCCATGTTAAATTTGTTTAGCTATTATTATACAGGTCTGAATACGCTAATACATGAGATAGAGAAATTCATTTCTGGGAAGGCAATACCACAGTACTCTCAGGTATGGCTGGCTTTCACATCCCCACAGTAATTATTTTAGTAGATTCGTCTTGAGTCTTGTTCAGAGTGATTTTTTTTCAGTTAACCTAAAACTCAATTTTAAAACAAGGGTACTATTTGGGGAATGTTCCTAGAGGGTCTAACACACTTAACATATGCCATTCTTCAGAGTGTTCTATTGCCAACCCAATATAAGTTTGGGGGTATTTTGTTTTGATTCTTCACTTATGTTTTTCCTTAGGTAATAGTTTTAAAGAATGACTTTTAAATCTGTTGCTGATTATGTACTAACACTTGACTTTTGAAAATATCAGTTATCTTTTATGTATCACCTTACTTTAAAAATTGTCAATTTTAACTTATAAATTGAAAAAAAGGATATTTCAAGGGAGAAAAATAGTATTTAAATTTTTTTTTGGTAATGCTGAACAAAGTCATATTATGGGTAATACTACACATTCTTAATTTGAGTCACAATAACTGATAATTATTAATTAGAATTGGAAGTACAACAAAATAATTTGCAGTAATGTAAATTTTTTGCACATTTCTTATTTCATCTTTTCATTTTTTTTCCTTTGAATATGCCTTTGCATTTTTTTTCTTTTTTTTTAAGCATATTATTTTTTTTTATTTTCCATTTTAAATTTAGATAAGAAACAAGGTTGCTTCACAAGTCAGTTCGAGGTCCCTCTCCCTTTCCCTCCCCTCCTCCCGTGTCCTCCCCCCATCCCCCCCGTTATCCCCTCATTCCCCCAGGGAGGGTGAGGCCCTCCATGGGGGTGTCCATAGTCTGTCATTTCATATAGGGCAGGGCCTAGACCCTTCCCCAAGAGTTCAGGGTGAGAGTGCACCTCACATTGTTCTATGGGAGTCCAGAGTCCGTGTGTATACTTGGGATGGGTACTGATCTGCTGTCCAAGGCTCAATAGATTACCTAGGCCTCCTCACTGACACCCAGATTCAGGGGGTCTTGATCAGTCCCATGCTGGATTCCCAAGCTGATGCCTGGGATTCAAGAGTTAAGCTTTGTCTGGTCAGCTGTTTCTGGGGGTTAAACCAGCCCAGTCTTAATCCCTTTGATCATCAGTCCTCCCTCTCTGATACTGGCTTTCTTGAGTTCAGCTCAGTACTTAAGCAGCCACTAAATGAAGTTTCTGTTTCCCAGACTCTCTGGCCATAGGATTGTAGGCTGGCACTCCCCAGATCTATGTCTAAAATCCATATATGAGAGAGTACATGCCATGTTTCTCTTTTTGTGACTGGGTTACCTCACTCAGGATGGTTTCTTCTAGTGTCATCCATTTGCCTGCGAATCTCATGATTCCATTATTTTTTTCTGCTGAATAGTACTCCATTGTGTAGATGTACCACATTTTCTCTATCCACTCTTCGGGTGAGGGACATCTAGGTTGCTTCCAAGTTCTGGCTATTACAAATAAAGCTGCTATGAACATAGTGGAACAGACATCTTTGTTATATGAATGGGCATCTTTTGGATATATGCCTAAGAGTGGAGTTGCTGGGTCTTGTGGTAGGTTTATTCCCATTTTTCTGAGGAATCTCCATACTGCTTTCCAAAGTGGCTGAACCACTTGGCACTCCCACCAGCAATGGAGGAGTGTCCCCTTTCACCACATCCTCTCCAGCATAAATTGTCATTGGTGTTTTTGATTTTAGCCATTCTGACAGGAGTGAGATGGTATCTCAGAGTTGTTTTGATTTGCATTTCCCGGATGGCTAAGGATGTTGAGCACTTTCTCAAGTGCCTCTCAGCCATTTTAGACTCCTCTATTGAAAACTCTCTATTTAGTTCTGCAGCCCACTTTTTAATTGGGTCCTTAGCTGTTTTGGAGACTTGCTTCTTGAGTTCTTTGTAAATTTTGGAGATCAACCCTCTGTCAGATGTGGGATTAGTGAATATTTTTCCCATTCTGTGGGCTGCCTTTTTGTCTTGCTGTGTCCTTTGCCTTACAGAAGCTTCTCAGTTTCAGTAGGTCCCATTTATTAATTGTTGATCTCACTGTCTGTGCTACTGGTGTTATGTTCAGGAAGCTGTCTCCTGTACCAATTCGTTCAAGGGTACCACCCACTTTCTCTTCTAAGAGGTTCAGTGTGTGTGGATTTATGTTGAGGTCTTTGATCCATTTGGACTTAAGTTTTGTGCATGGTGATAAACATGGATCAATCCGCATTCTTCTACATGCCAGTCTCCAATTATGCCAGCACCATTTGTTGAAGATGCTTTCTTTATTCCATTGTATATTTTTAGCTTCTTTGTCAAAGATCAGATGTTCCTACGTGTGTGGGTTAATACCCGGATTTTCAATTCGATTCCATTGGTCTGCCTGTCTATTTTTGTGCCAATACCAAGCTGTTTTCAGGACTATAGCTCTATAATAGAGCTTGAGGTCAGGGATAGTGATGCCTCCGGACGTTGCCTTGTTGAACAGGGTTGTTTTGGCTATCCTGGGTCTTTTGTTTTTCCATACAAAATTGATTATTGTTCTTTCAAGGTCTGTGAAGAATTGTGCTGGGATTTTAATGGGGATAGCATTGAATCTGTAGATTGCTTTTGGCAGGATTGCCATTTTTACTACATTGATCCTACCTATCCAAGAGCATGGGAGATCTTTCCATTTTCTGAGGGCTTCTTTAATTTCTTTCTTTAAAGATTCAAAGTTCTTACGATACAGGTCTTTCACTTGTTTGGTTAGCATTACCCCAAGGTATTTTATGTTGTTTGTGGCAATTGTAAAGGGTGATGTTTCTCTGATTTCTCTTTCAGCCCTTTTATCATCTGTATATAGTAGGGCTACTGACTTTCTTGAGTTGATCTTGTAATCTGCCACTTTGCTGAAGGTGTTAATCAGCTGTAAGAGTTCCCTGGTAGAGTTCTTTGGGTCATTGATGTAAACTATCATATCGTCTGCAAACAGTGAAAGTTTGACTTCTTCCCAATTTGTATCCCCTTGATCCCCCTTTGTTGTCATATGGCAATAGCTAGAACTTCAAGTACCATGTTGAAAAGGTATGGAGAGAGTGGACAGCCTTGTTTTGTTCCTGATTTTAGAGGAATTGCGTTGAGTTTCTGTCCATTTAGTTTGATGTTGGCTGTTGGTTTACTGTATATGGCTTTTATTATGTTTAAGTATGTCCCTGTTATCCCAGATCTCTCCAAGACCTTTATCATGAAGGGGTGTTGGATTTTGTCAAAGGCTTTTTCTGCATCTAGTGAGATGATCATGTGATTTTTGTTTTTCAGCTTGTTTATATGGTGGATTACGTTGATGGATTTTCGTATGTTAAACCATCCCTGCATCCCTGGGATGAAACCTACTTGATCGTGGTGAATGATTGTTTTGATGTGTTCTTGGATCCGTCATCTTTTCATTTAAAATAAGCTAATTATATTTTCTTAACTTCAAATACATTAGAAATGATTTTGTGATAACTTTTCTCAATTATATTAACTAAAGATAATTTTTAATATAGTATTTACACAATGTATGGCACTAATTCCAAACATGAGAGAACTATTTTGTATTGTCGAAATAGGGAAATTGTGACTCTAGATTTAATAACTACCTGCAGCTAGTAAGATTCAGTGAAATAAGTTGATTTTATTATTCAATTTTATAACTAACATATTACCCATCTCATGTTTTTCAGAGATTTCTATATTGATTTAGGGTATATTAAAGCTACTATGCAGCATTTTCAAAGGGAAAAGTTTTACTGATATTTAACTATAAATGTACATGAGAAAGATAAACTTACTTCTAAATGATTAATTTTATATTCTAATTATCTTACTTTTACAAGAAAGAGAATGCAGCATTCCCCTAATACAACCATACTTAAACGTTGCTCCTAAGAAAGAAAAATATAAAGTTGGAGATATATTGAAATTTTCTTGCCGACCAAGGCACAGAGTTGGCCCAGATTCAGTGCAATGTTATGATTTTGGATGGTCCCCTACTTTCCCAATATGTAAAGGTGAGTATATGTAATACATTTGATAATGAGGATCAGAAGTTTATTTTCCTTCTCCTAATACTCACCAGTCTTCTAGTTTGTCTATAGTCCAAAGTATATTCAGAAATATAGACGGTCAAAGAAGACATGTGCTGTGTGACTAATACCCAGTCTCGTATGTGTAAGGATAAACCCAGGCTACCTCGTTTCTTAAAGTGTTAATCAATGTGTTTACACATTCAGACATGATAGCAGAGACTACAAAGACTTCTTTCATTTTGTCTACATCACCATAAGTCCTGGCATCTTTTTAGGCCTAGACCTTCCCTCACACTGAATAGAATATGTCCAAACTGTATGAAAGGAGATTTTAATCAATTCAATAACAGGTATTAAGCAAATTAAAGTGGATTGATTAGATGATTGCTACACTGATATTTTCTACAAAGTGGTAACTGTAAAATAAAATAGTGCTCATGAATGTGAAAATGTGAAAATCACTCTAACTGACTCAACAAAACTGATGACTGGTTTGCATGTATCTTCAAAGCTATCAAGTTTCTTGAATGCTGTTACACCTTCAACATACATACAATGATTTTTTAACATTTAATATATTACTGCAAAATGTGAGTCATGTGTAAATATTATTTATTTAGAAAAGTGTTAAAAAGTAATATGGTAATATGTTTTTTTAATTTCCTTATTTACTAGATTTTTAGACTGTAACATGGGCATTTTCCATTATACTTACATAGTATTTCCCCAATAGATCAAGTGGGATCATGTGACCAACCTCCTGAACTCCACAATGGGGAAGCTAAGGGAACAAAGAAAGAAGAATATGGCCATGGTGAGGTGGTGGAATATGATTGCAAGCCTAGATTTCTGCTGAAGGGACCCAGTAGAATCCAGTGTGTAGATGGAAAGTGGACAACCTTGCCAATATGTGTTGGTAATTAAAGTGCTAATATTTAAACACTGTTTTGTGTTTCATGTGATGCCTTAATCTTGAATATGCTTTTGTGAACCATTTATCTACAGAGGAGGAAAGAACATGTGGAGAAATTCCTGAAATTGAGCATGGATTTGTCCAGTTTTCTGTCCCTCCTTATCACCATGGAGATTCAGTGGAGTTCAGCTGCATAGAAAACTTCACAATGATTGGACATGGGTCAGTTTCATGCATTAGTGGAAGGTGGACACAACTTCCTCAATGTATTGGTAAGTCTGTGTGCCTCAAATTGATATGTCATTAACTTTATTTCAGAGATATTTGCTACTTTATACTTCTGAAGTTAGTACTCTTTTTGGAAATATGTGTTCTTAAATAAGATGAATCCAGGAGTTCATACTTTATAATTTGATTTATGCCTACAGATGAAAATAATCTGTACATGTTTGTTATTTACCTTAAGTAAAATCTAATTGTTAGTTATAAATTGTCTTTTGTCTAAATATGGATACTAATGTCTGAAAAGATATGACAAATTAAAAAAAACACCATTGCTGTTTTTATATGGCATTCTCCTTCCACGTCCTGGAAAGTTAAGAAATAAAGTATGTGAAGCACTCATTTTATATTCTCTCATAACAAAATTTCCTCTCTCATAATTTCTATGATGCATATGTCTATATAACATGCTTCAAGCAAAGCCAATATGTTGCAAGTGGGAGCCCAGGGCCTGTTCTTGGTTATAGAACTCAGCTATATCAAAAAGTCTGGGATTGGATGGGAAACATTATTTCATGGATGACTTCACTCTACAATGACTTTCTCCATACTTTTACATCTTTAATGAATAGCTGAAAGCATCTTGGGGCCCACATCCAGTATTCCCTGAAACTGATTTTTTTCTTAAGAGTGTTCCATTCCTTCAGCATGGGCCTTGTTGTCCAGTCTTTACTATTAAATGGAGTTTAAGCTGAAGAATAATGCCGGAGAAACACGGATTTTTTTTTAAAGGGTAGATATGGCTATGTGAGCTAGCAGTATATTCTCCCTATACTCAATACCAACCAACTCTGTAAACTATTTGTCATGTAAATCACTACCTCTACTTCTTATTAATCTTTGAATTTTTTTGGCTAAGCAATTTTTTTGTCAAAGTCCTACCTTCAATCCTTTAGAACCTATTTTCATCACTGCTTTAAAATTATTTGACAAATAATTTTATATGTGAAAAACCAGGCATAATATCAGTCATGAAAAATTAATTCTCTATTCTAAGTCACAAAATACTGCTTTATTATTTGCTCATATTTCAGAGGCTTTGTTACAATGGTTGATCTTCCTATACTTACCTTCATGTGACCTTTTCCATTTATCATAAACTATACTACAAAGTTAGCCTTAAGGAACAAACATTTTTATACTTCCATTAAACATTATTCTTCATATATATATATGTGTATATATATATATATATTTGGCTTTCTTTTGAAAAATAAGAGATTCTTACAGAAATAAATGAATTACACAATCACCATGTCCTTTTGACTATAGGTCTTTCTTCATTACCCTTTATAGAACAACAGCTTCTATTGTCTTGTGAACCAATCTTTAGGAAGTGTCTAATTCTTTAGAGTTTTCAGTGCTTGAACCATTCTGGTCAATATTTTAAATATGTTTTATAAAAATTATAGTATTTTGTTTAATTATGTTTATTTGCATCATCCATACACATTTCACTCTAAACTTCAAGTTATAAACAAATGTCATCCATAACCTATGCTGAAATTTGCCAAATCAAAAATAATTCACATCTTAACTAATTAAAATATATAGCATACTAAAAGATCTAAATATATCCATTACTTAACTCTTAGCTAGAAGAGCTTATCATTATAACTTAATATTGTTCTATTATACAATGATCTAACATGAAATTTCTTGTTATAGACTCATACAATAGGAAGATAAAGGAGATGGTTGGTGACTACATGCATTTAATTTCTTATATCAGTTAAAACACTTGTTTGTTACACAACTTAACCTAGATTTTCTTTTCTCATAAAACATCTATCAAAAATAAAATGTGAATTAGAAAGTTCTTGTATACTATTTACAAGTGATTTTATTTTAATATATTATATTACAAACTAAAGATCACATAATGGGAGAGAAACAAATTTGAACATTTTCATATCTTTCAAGTATGGGACCAAAGAAGATTATGTCATAATCTTTTCCTATGTAGATCTTCTGAGGTAATTATTTCCTATGTACTTGCAGTTGCCAAGTATCCAAATCCTTTCATGACACATGCTATCTCTGAGAAGTAAAATAGTGAACCTGAGATCTAGTTGTCACACTATAGACCATTTCTGCATGGTGTCCTTCAACATTTTGGTTCACAAAATTTTTAAATATAAATAAAAGTTTCATTGTACATTGACTATATAGTATTTTAATGTAGTAGCTAGTTCACTTCTTGTAATTATTTTATTTTTCTTGGAAATATTTTCACATAGCAACAGAGCAACTAGAGAGGTGTAAATCACCAAGATTAACTGCAGTAAAGGTAATCCAACCCAATAAGATTTACTTTAATCATAATGATAACATGAGTTACAAATGTATTGGAAAGCAGCAACATGACCGCTCATAATGTATTGGAAAGCAGCAACATGACCGCTCAATCTGCATCAATGGAAGATGGGATCCTGAGCCAACCTGTACAAGTAAGCTCCTATTTATTCTGCTTTCTAATGGTTGTTCCAGTCTTTTCTCACCTGTAATAGTAGTATATTTGAGTTCTTAAAACAAGGTAATTTTTTGAGTATTTAATATGTGAATTATGTATTTTCATCTTTTTCACTTCTCCATCTTCCTACTCAAACTTGTATATGTAATTGAGAGCATGATGAATCCATTTAGATTTTCTTCTACATATATGTGTTTAGGAATGATGCTTAGAACTGGATAACATATTTATTTTCTCAATTATCTAAGGAGAAGACTGATTCTCCAACTCTATATAGCCATTAATTCCCAGAACCTCTTCATCTAGGGGAAGGGCCTTGTGAGATATTCCCTATCCATATTATTATTTAAACTGATATTCTGATAATTTGACTTGTTTAGGTGGCCACAATTTTGAGATTTCTGTGATTCTGAAACCCTGCCATACATTAAAACACTATCTCCTAAAAGATATCCTGGAAAGATACTTTTTAATATAAAAATGACCTAGAAATTATTTTATCATATTTTTATGACCTTCATAAAACAGACAAGCAAACTTGATCAACACAAATTTACCCCAGTGTCCTAATGGTCTCTTACTCTTAGAGTTCCATGACACCTAATTATTTTATCATAACAAATAAGATGCCTATACCTACACTTAATCTTCATGAATTTCTGTATGAGTGTGTATACTGGCAATTTAATAATCTATTTACTCAACTAAAAATCAGTCTGTTTATATAGATAATTCTGGCTCATATGACACCTCCAACTCCATGTCAATAAGCAATGACTTCATTCAACTGTATTTACTTCCCTATTTGTTTTTACTACTATTATTTTGCATGCCTTACCTCGCTTGTTATTTTAAGCTATTCCTTAAAGACTAAAATTCACAAGAAATATTTCTATGCCACTCCAAAATCAAACCCATTACGTACATGTGAATTAAGTGTTCATGCTCTTCTACAGTTGCCTCTGATTTTATCATGTCTGATATCATTTTGATTGTAGTATTAAGGTTATAACTGTTTTTCTTCATATATGGCTATTTATTTATTCAAAGATTGTGGAAACTTTTACATACTACACAGTGTTAATATATTTCTAGTAATTCCACACTACATAAGCAGAGATTAAAAATTTAAGTTATTAATAACCACAAATAAAGCACACTTTTATGTTATGAGTATGAAAGATGAATCTGAGGTACTTAGATTTTATAAAGACTTACACAAAGTTTTTCAGAAGGGTATTAATGACAGTAATAATTGCTTACTACCCTGGATGCATACCATCACTTTAATATCAGTAAATAGTTCAGGTTAAGTAGGATGTCCAGGGTTGTTGAAATGTTGAATAACATGTTATGAGCCATTTGTTAACATATCTTATACTCTTATTGATCAAGAGTCAGTGCCAAATTGATTATCAGTTGTGATAATTAATACCTATATTTTACATGACAGATTCTACATTTCTCAAGGAAAACCACCTCTGAGCGTGACTGACAGGACACTTGTAGTTTAGGTTAACTGAGTTGGGAACGTCCACTATAAATGTAGGTGTCACCACCATTTTATGGGCAGGGTCCTGCAATAAATGAAAAGGAAAAGGGGACCTGAATACCAGCATTAATTTCTCTGTGGTTCCTTAGAGATACAATGTGACAATCTGCCTGACACTCTACTTCCATTCATGATGAGTTAAATTAAACCCACCCACCTTTCCTTCCTTCCTTCCTTTCTTCCTTCCTTCCTTCCTTCCTTCCTTCCTTCCTTCCTTACTTCCAGTTGTTATTGTTCAGTATTTTTTTTACTGCAATGAGAAAAGTTACCAGTATATAAGTATTGGATCCATTAAACAACTTTCATTGTTAAACTACCTCACTGACTTTTTTTTTTATCTAATCCACCATATTAGGTCATACCTAACCATATATAGCTCTAGTGACACCTTCTTGTAATCCTGGTTTAATATATTTAAGTTTAAAATAATTTAAAACACCATAAAGGATAGAAATAATTGAAATAAGTTTTATAAAAATAATGCAAGACTGCTTTAAATTTGAATAAATAAATTTTCAAAGGAGAACATGAATATATATTGAAATTCTATACTAGCTGAAAAGTATAGATACAATTAATACATGGGGATAATTAATTTAACATCTAATGAGAATTATTACTGTTATAATTTAAGATGCAATCTTTGGTCAAGAACTCTGATCTCAAATGTTTTTAGGAATAGAGAAAGAATCCTGCCCTCCTCCACCACAGATTCCAAATGCGCAAGTGATGGAAACCACAGTTAAGTATTGGGAAGGAGAAAAAGTATCTGTTCTTTGTCAAGACAATTACCTAATACAGAACAGAGAAGAAATGGTGTGCAGAGATGGAAGGTGGCAGTCATTACCACGTTGCATTGGTCAGTAGTTATGACTTATTTTACATCATTTTTTCTTTGAATACCAAAGAGAATTCAGGTGAAGGAGGGTGGACATTGAAATATGAGAGCATAGCCTAAATACTGTGGAGACATAATTCAAACAGTTTGTTTATTATTTTTCAATGTAAACTTTTTATTTATGCATCACTAATTCATTTCTCTTCTTCATATAGCAAAAATGCCATGTTCCCAGCCCCCTGAAATAGACCACGGATCTGTTAAATTACCCAGATCTTCAGAAGATAGGAGACGCACACTTGAGTCCCGAAGTTATGAACATGGCACTACACTCAACTATGCTTGTGATGATGGTTTTAGGATGGCTGAGGATCATGGGGTAACTTGCCACATGGGAAAGTGGAGCAATCCACCTCATTGTGTTGGTGAGAGCAGAATGAAAATTCAATTCTGGTTTTCCAACAAGTCTTTACTCTCATCAAAAACAGGAGAAAGAATGGTTTAGATTGGCACATATAATCATTATATATTTTAAACATAAATTTATACTTGCATAGACCACTGTATTCTGCTTAAGCTAATTGTCTTGATTGTCTTGAAATCCACTTTAACACTTCCTTTTCTGTTTTTAAATATGATGTATAGTCTGACCTCACCTGCTCATGTGATTTCTAGTATTTCATTTATCATCAGGTATTAAATTTATCAGTATCCACCCCAAATGCAGTATAGGGTATGTTTCCTGAGATGAGTATTTCTTGCTTTTCCATTCCTTTTGTCACGCAGTATTTGTCAGACATTTTGGTGTCAAGTTCTTGCTCAGTGTTGACGCAGTTTAGCAGATGGAAGACAGCAGACAGTGGTGTTAGGAAGCGCTGTCCACCTCTTCTGTGATGACACCTCTACCTTGTTAACATTCCCTTATAGTACACATAGAACTGACACTTACAAGTGAGTTTCTGAATTAGTGCCACGTGGGATAATTTCACTTTGTTCCTCTCATTGTGTGATTTTCAGGACTTCCTTGTGGACCACCACCTTCAATCGATCATGGGAATTTGTCTCACGAACTAGACAGTTACCAACATGGGGAAGAGGTGACATACAACTGTTTTGAAGGTTTTGGAACTGATGGACCAGGATTTATAAAATGTATGGGAGGAAAGTGGCCCAAGCCGCCAGATTGCAAAAGTAAGGATTTATTTTTATTCTTTGTGTAATATATTTTCTATTTCAAGTTACATGTGGCACAAATATGAAAGCAAACTGGAATTCTAGCACATGAGAATATTTTGATGACAGTTCTGGGTGCTGGCATGCATCCAATACTAGTAAAATCATAGTTTAATATTTTGAACCCAGTTTCATTTTAACTTCATGTATCCCAAACTATCAGCATCCTATGACTTCTAGAGCACACTGCCTCTGCTCAACAGGCTCATCACCACAGGCACAATTTGTGCAGCATTGCCACTACAGCTAATTATGCTATAAAATTTTCAAATAAATTATAATGAGTATTCTATATTTGATGACATTAAAAAGTAGAAATATGCCTGAAGTGTGGAAAATAAGACAGAAAAAATTTGAATGCAAAATATAAAACTCTCAAGAACTATAACTGGAGTTTTCTATAATGTCATTCAGGAATTCTGTATGAATTCAATTTGGAAACCATTACTGTAGGCGCTAAACATTTGCCAAGGGTTCTGTATCTAGTGTCATTCCTACCTTATTTATTTTCAAAAATTTGGAACTATTGAATGTAACTTAGTTTAAATGTGGAACCTACAGTATTTATTGTCCTCTGTGAACCTAACTATTACTTCATATATTATATATTTTACAATTTCCTAAAAACATAAACCTACATATTATTTTTCTTTCAGGAACTGATTGTAACTATTTACCCAGGTTTGAAAATGCCATACTCATAGAAAAGCAAAAATATTCATATAAGTCTGGAGAACAATTGACGTTCAGATGTGCACCTTCTTATCAAATGGAAGGATCCAGCATTGTCACATGTGTTAATTGCACATGGATTGGAGAGCCAGTGTGCAAAGGTAGTTTGATACACTTGAAACATGTGTTTATTATAGTTTCTCATAAAGAGGTGTAGCATATTTTTTGTTTGTTTTGTTTTTTTTAAAAATATTTTTATTAATTTATTTTTTACCTTCTGATCCCAGTTCTCCCTCCCCCGACTCCTCCTGCTCTCACTGCTTCCCCCCCCCTCACCTCCCATCTGCTCCTCAGAAATGGTAAGACCTCCCCTAGGAAGTCTACCAAGTCTGTCCCATCATCTCACTGAGTAGGACCATAGCACCTCTCCATCCCCCCCCACACCACTGTGTCTAGGCTGAGCAAGGTATCTCTCAAAATAGAATGGACTCCACTAGGTCAGTTTGTAAATTAGACTTGTATCTTGGAACAACTGAGAGCAGCCTTATGTATTGTCCAAGTGGCACCATTGTCACCTATTTTAAAGGAGTTTAATTCAGTCTTACGGAGGTTCCCCATTTGTCAGACCAGAGTCAGTGATCAGCGAAATGTAAATCAAAACAACTCTGAGATTCCATCTTATCCAGATGAGAATGGCTAAGATCAAAATTATGTATGACATCTTATGCTGGAGGGGATGTCGAACAAAGGAAACTCTCCTCCTTTGCTCGTGGGAGGTCTAGCATAATTTAATAGTGGTCAAAGTTTAGCTTTTAAAGGAAGAGGAACTTGGTCTATATTTACAATAAAAGTATGGAACTGAAAATCTATTGGCTAAACTGATATAGTGATGGTCCCCAGCATGTGCTTCTATGGCCAGTATTATCAGTATCATTGTGCCAGGTTTTATAAATGTAAATTAACACTGAAGAATTCAACTTAGTGTTGTTAAATAGAAAGTCATTTAGGAGAGAGACCTTGAGCCTTCTATAGTGTCCTTCAGGAATTCTGTGACAAATTCAGTTTGGAAGTAATTGCTGTAGGCTGCAAATTTTTGTAAATGCATTGTTAAAGAATCACCATTCAACTGAGTTCTTGTTTATATCTCATTTTCTCTGATTAGGTTAGGATATTAGGATATTTCACTTGATCATCATTCTCTTACAACTTTGGTATTCTTGAAATAATGTTCTTATTACCTTACATGAAAATAGATTTTTTTCCTCTGGTAAGATGTCCTGAATATGATTCTTCCCTCCCTCTACTCATCCTAGATCCTTTTGCCTCCTCTACCATCTGCAACCTTCTTCCTTCTGTCTTTCTTCACAAAAGAAACAGCCTTTCATAGAATAACAATAAAAGATCAAAAAAAAAAACAATCCCAGGGAAAGAGCTGAAGAAAAGCACAAGAGACTGATATAGACACAAAGCCCCTCTTGCCATACTCAGGAATCTCATAAAAACATTGAACTGAAAACTATAATACATATAAAAACGAACTGTAGGGTAAAAAGAGAGAAGAAAACCAGAATTAAAATAAAAATAAAATAAAAAATGAGTTAGAATTTACAAAAAAAAGGTAAGCCCTGGTAGGACATTATGAGAGAAAGAACTTCCAAGGATTCCTTAGAGCTCATTTTATGCAGTTTACCCTTATTAGTAGTTTGTTTCTCCATTGAGATTCCCTTGGAGATCTCTAAATTGTCTTTGCACGTGGTTTTTAGTTAGACATTGGATATTGCTTCTGGTTTAGGAATGGTGGCATGTGTCAACTTCTTCAGCTCTAGAACCCCATCTATTGCAGATCCTGCCTCAGTCTCTGAGTGTACATATGTGCATCAGTCTTGTTGCTTTGCAGGGTCTTCTCTACTTGATGCATTCTATCCCATCTGCTTCTTACACTCTTTATTTCTCCTGTTCTGCATGGTTCCTTGAACCACGTGGGGAGTGATTTGATGGAGGCAATCCATTTGGGGCTCTGTTTTATCAGGTCTCTTCAGAACGTCTGGCTTTGTCTCTCTGTATTTGTTCCCATCTGTTGTAGGACAAACTCCTCTGATGACAGTTTTGTAAGGCCAGATCTATGAGCATAAAAGAATGTCATGTGAAGTTCTATTGTTGCTATGGCTTTTGTTTTATTTGTTTGTTTTTGAAGGTTATTATGTGGTTTCACAGTAGTATTAGGTCCCTAGGCTATCTAGACTCAGGTTGATGATCACTCAACTAGTGTAGTATATGGGCTTCATCTCATAGAAGGGACCTTAATTCAAATCACAAGCATTGTACCACCATTTTCCTAGAATACTTGCAAGCAGAATACCATTATAGATCAGGGTTTGTGGATTGGGTGATGCTTTTGTTTCTACTTTGGTAATATGCAAAATAACTTCCTGTAGGGTTACTTGCCTGTAGGGTTGAAAGCACTATGTAGGCTCCAGTTGGGTTTTTCTATGTTCAGTGAATTGTGTAGATGCTGTCACATTTAAAATGTAGCCTTGAATCCAGCTTGTGGAAAATACTCTATAGTCTTGTGAATAGTCTGAGTTGTTTGGAAGTTCCCATGTGACCTCTTTGGTCACACAGTTCAATTATATGGAACCCAATCCCAGTACTATAAGCTTCATTTAGTGACAAGATATATCCATTGGGTCTCTGTCGCCCCATGTCTTGATGTTATTATTTGTATATGAGAATCAGGAAATGTCCACTGTATTAGGCTTCCAGAATATCCCTCAAATGAGTCCTAATTTTAGCAGTCTTTCCCTGTGTTTTGTTCCTTGTCTCCCCCTCCTCATCCATAACTATTTACTCAATATCACCAGTCTATGGAAATTATCCCCCCCCAATTCCAGTCCCTTACTCTACACCTAACCTCTTTTGTTCAATAGATTGTATCCTAGGCATCATTGACTTAACAGCTAATATCAACATATATGAAAATACATACCACATATGTCTTTCTGGGTCTGGTTTATCTCACTCACATGATATTTTCTAGTTCAATCCATTTACCTGTGAATTTCATGATTTCTCTCTCTCTCTCTCTCTCTCTCTCTCTCTCTCTGTGTGTGTGTGTGTGTGTGTGTGTGTGTGTGTGTTGAGAAATATAAGATGAACAAATAGATAAAGATACTTTCTTTTGCTCTTTAGATACTTCCTGTGGGGATCCACCACATGTGGAAAATGGTACTATAATAACAAGGCCTATGGCTAAATATCCATCAAATGAGAGAGTAGAATATGAATGCAATAAATCTTTTGAACTATTTGGGGAAAAAGAAGTGATGTGTCAAAATGGGATTTGGACAGAACCACCAAAATGCAAAGGTAGGGCTTCATGTTTCCCAAGAATTTTTTGACAATGCAATTTGTTTGCTCTATATCAGTGAAAATAAAGTGAAATAATATTTTTCATTATATTTTATTACATTTCTTTAGAAAAAAGATTGCTTCACATGTCAATTCCAGCTCCCTCTTCCTTCCTTCCTCCAGAATGCTCCCCATCCTCCCCCTCCCAGTCTCCCACCCTGTCCCCACTCCCTTCCACATAGGGGATATCCAGAGTCTGTCATGTCATTCAGGACAGGGTCCATGCCCTTCCCCATGAGTCTAGGCTGATGGAGCATCCTAGTCCATTTGTAGACCAGGGATAAATACTGATCTACTACCCAGTGCTCCATTGAGTTTCCAGGCCTCTTCACTGACACCCACATCCAGAGGGTCTGGATCAGTCCAATGTTGGCCCTCCAGATGTCCTTCTGGTGTCCAAGAGCTCCCCCTTGTTCAGGTCACCCGTTTCTGCTGGTCACTCTAGCCCATTCTTTACCAATTTGCTCATCACTCTTCCCTCTCTGTCACTGAGTTCCAAGTGTTCAGTTCAGTGTTTAGCTGTGGGTTTTTGCCTCTGCTTCCATCATTCACTGGATAAAGGTTCCAGGATGGCATATCAGGTAGTCACCAACCTTATCATCAGGTAGGGACTATTAATGTAGTCTCTCCACTATTGCTTAGCTTGCCAGTTGGTGTCATCCTTGTAGTTAACTAGAGATCTCACTGTTGCCAGATCTCTCTTCAAACCTATAATGACTCCCTCAATTATGATATTTCTGATCCTGTTATCCACTCTTCTTCTCCCAATGCAACCGTCTTGTTCCCCAATGACATCCTCTCTCCTCCTCTTCTCCCCCTCTCTTTTTCCCAGATCCCACTCCATTCCCACCCCTCTGCTTCAAATCTGCTCAGGAGATCTTGCCTCATTCCTCTTTTCTGGGGTACCATGAATATCTCTCTTAGCTATTTTCCTGTTCCTCAGACTCTGTCAGTGCAGCAGTAGGCTGGCACTCTCCTGATCCATGTCTAAAATCCATATACGAGTGAGTACATACCATGTTTGTCTTTTTGTGCTGTTCATTTGCCTGAAAATTTCAAGATTCCATAGTTTTTTTCAGCTGAGTAGTACTCCATTGTGTAAGTGTACATCTTCTCTATCCACTCTTCAGTTGAGGAGCATCTATGTTGCTTCTAGGTTCTAGCTATTACAAATAATGCTGCTATGAACATAGAGGAATAGATGTCCTTGTTGTATGAATTTGCATCTTTTGGATATATGCCTAAGAGTGGAATTGCTGGGTCTTGTGTTAGACTGATTCTCATTTTCCTGAGTAATCTCCATACTGATTTCCAAAGTGGGTGTGCAAGCTGTCACTTCCACCAGCGGTGGAGGAGTGTTCCCCTCTCTCCGCCTTTCCAGCATAAATTGTCTTAATGTTTTTGATTTTAGCCATTCTGTTAGGAGTGAGATCGTATCTCAGAGTATTTTTAATTTACATTTTCCTGATGGCTAAGGATGTTGAGCACTTTCTCAAGTGTCTCTCAGCCATTTTATAGTCCTCTATTGAGAATTATCTATTTTAATTCTGTAACCCACATTTAATTGGATCCTTTGGTGTTTTGGAGAGTTGCTTCTTGAGTTTTTTGTAAATTTTGGAGATCAGCCCTCTGTTAGATGTGGGGTCAGTGGAGATCTTTTCCCATTCTGTTGGCTGCCTTTTTTTTTTCTTCTTGACTGTGTCTTTTGCCTTAAAGAAGCTTATTAGTTTCAGGAGGACCCATTTGTTAATTGTCAATGTCAGTGTCTGTGCTACTGGTGTTATGTTCAGAAAGTGGTCACTTTTACCAATTCATTCTAGAGTACCTCCAAATTTCTCTTCTAATAGTTTCAGTGTGGCTGGATTTACGCAGAGGTCTTTGATCCATTTGGACTTCAGTTTAGTGCATGGGGATACACATGGATCTATCTAAGGTCTTCTGCATGCCAATATCCAATATGCAACATTTGTTGAAGATGCTGTCTTTTATCCATTGTATAATTTAAGTTTCTTTGTCAAAAATTAAGTGTTCATAGGTGTGTGGGTTAAAATCTGGGTTTTCAATTTGATTCCATTCATCTACCTGTCTATTTGTGTGCCAATATCAAAGTTTTCGGTAGAAGAGCTTGAAGTCAGGAATGGTGATGCCTGCGGAAGTTCCTTTATTGTACAGGGTTGTTTTTGCTATCCTGGGTTTTTGATTTTCCATATAAAGTTGATTATTGTTCTTTCAAGGTCTGTGAATAATTGTGCCGGTATTTAGATGGGGATTGCATTGAATCTGTAGACTGCTTTTGAGAAGATTGCCATTTTTATGTTGATCCCACCAATCCATGAGCATGGGAGTTTTTTCCATTTTCTGGTATCTTCTTTAATGCCTATCTTTAGGCATTCAAACTTCTTACTATACAAGTCTTTCACTTGTTTGGTTAGCATTATACCCAGATATATAAAATTACTTGTGCCTGTTATAAAGGGTGATGTTTCTCTGATTTCTCTCTCACCCAATTTGTCATTTGTGTATAATAGGGCTACTGACTTTTTTGGGTTAACCTTGTATCCTGCCACTTTGCTGAAGGTGTTAATCAGCTGTAGGAGTTCCATTGCAGAGTTTTTCAGGTCACTTATGTAAACTACCATATCATCTGCAAATAGTGAAACTTGTCTTCTTCCTTTCCAATTTGTATCTCCTTTTCTTGTCTTACTACTCTAGCTAGAACTTAAGTACAATATTGAAGAGACATGGTGTACAGCCTTGTCTTGTTCCTGATTTTAGAGTAATTGCATTGAGTTTCTCTCTATTTAGTTTGATATTAGCTGTTGGTTTACTGTATATTGCTTTTATTATGTCCAGGTTTGTTCCTGTTATCCCAGATCTCTCCAAGACCTTTATCATGAAGGGGTGTTGGATTTTATCAATGGCTTTTTCAGCATCTAGTAAAATGATCATGAGGTTTTTCTTTCGCAGTTTGTTTATATGGTGGATTACATTGATAGATTTTCATATATTGTAGTGTCCCTGCATCCCTGGGATGAAGCCCACTTGACCATGGTGAATGATTTTTCTAAGGTGTTCTTGGATTCGATTTGCTAGTATTTTACTGAGTACTTTTGCATCAATATTTATGACAGAAATTGGTCTGTAGTTCTCTTTCTTAGTTGTGTCTTTAGTACCAAGGTAATTTTAGCCTTGTAAAAAGAGTTTGGCAGCGAATCTCTTGCTTCTATGGTGTGGAACACTTTGAGGAGTATTGGAATTAGCTCTTTTTTGAATTTCTGGTATAATTTTGTACTGAAGGCATCTGGGCCTGGGCTTTTTTTGGTGGGGAGACTTTTGATGACTGCTTCTATTTCATTAAGGTTTATAGGTCTGTTTAGATTGTTTGTCTGTTCTTGATAATTTTGGCAAGTGATATCTATCCAGAAAATTGTTCATTTCTTTAAATTTTCAAATTTTGTAGAGTACAGGTTTTCAAAGTATGACCTTATGATTCTCTGCGTTTTCTCAGTGTCAATTGTTATGTCCCCCTTTTCATTCCTGATTTTATTAATTAGCATGCTCACCCAGTGCCTTTTGGTTAGTTTTGATAAAGATTTGTCTATTTTGTTGGTTTTCTCAAAGAACCAACTCTTTGTTTCATTGATTCTTTGGCATGTTTTCCTGGTTTCTACTTTGTTGATTTCAGCCCTCAATTTGACTATTTCCTGGCATCTACTCCTCCTGGGTGAATTTGCTTCTTTTTGTTCTAGAGCTTTCATTTGTGTTCTTAATTCTCTAGTGTGACTGTTCCTCAGTCTCTTCATGTGGCCACTTAGTGCTGTGAAATTTCCTCTCAGCACTGCTTTTTTTTTTTTTTTTGGTTTTATGAGACAAGGTTTCTCTGTATTGTTTTTGATGCTGTCGGTCCAACCTGGCCTCGAACTCACAGATATCCTCCTGCCTCTGCCTCCCGAGTGCTGGGATTAAAGGCTGTGTGCCACCACCAACCGGCTCAGCACTGCTTTTTAAGTATCCCATAAGTTTGGATATGTTGTGTCTTCATTCTCGTTGAATTCCAGTAAGTCTTTAATTTCTTTTTTTATTTCTTCCTTTCCCCAGGGATGGTGCAATTGTGCATTGTTCAATTTCCATGAGTTTGTAGGTTTTCTGTGCCTTGTGTTGTTGTGAATTCTAATTTTAATGCAAGGTGGTCTGATAAGGTACAGTGATACAATGGGTTATTCCATTTTTTGTATTTTTTTTTGAGGTTTGCTATGTTTTTGATTATGTGGTCAATTTTAGAGAAGGTTCCTTGTGTCGCAAAGGAGAAAGTATATCTCTTTCTGTTTGGAAGGAATGTTCTATAGAAGTCTGTTAAATCCAATTGGGTCCAAACATCTGTCAGTTCTTTTGTTTCTTTGCTAAGTTTTTGTCCTGGAGGTCCTGTCTAGTGGTGAGAGCAGAGTGTTGAAGTACCCTACAATTAGTGTGTGATATTTTATTTGTGATTTGAGCTTTAGTAATGTTTCTTTCATTAATGTGGCGCCTTTGTATTTGGGGAATTGATGTTCAGAATTGAGACTTCATCTTGATGGATTTTCCTGTGATGAATATGAAATGTCCTCATTCATCACTTTTGATCAATTTTAATTTGAAGTCTAATTTCATTTTCCTTCACAATAAATATTTTGCTTGGATATTGAACATTTTGTTTTCTCCTAAACAACATTGGAGTTCAGTTCAATTTCATGATGCACCTATTGAGATCTAACTTAACAGAACATAATATCAGTATTTTTGATTTCAGTCTTTTTTCCCTGTGGCCTCACCAGGAAGATCAATGGTCCAAAAAGGAAACCAATAGTATCATGCAGTTAGACGTGTCCTCATTTCTTAAACAGAATTCTCCCCTCTCCATATACTCTTTACCAAAAATATTATGTCTAAGTACTCCTGTTTTACTTTTATAATTTGTAGATACCTCTACTTATGTGACTCTTTCAGGAACCCAGAAAGCTTCATTTGCCTTCTGTGATTTTGTAAGCCTTAAATTCTTGTCTATAAATGTATGTTTCTACAAAAAATAATAATGAATGTCAGAAATATATAGAATAATAAATACTCAAGTGTCTTGAAAAAAGAGAAACTCTATCTGTCTCCATTGGCCTCTGTATTTGTATAAGATGTTAAGACATTTAGTAGGACTGGAAAACTTCAGAAATGGCATGCTTGCTCCAGTTCAGGAAGTGTTTTATGTGAGAAGGAAGAAAGGAAGACTTGTAATTCTCAGTTTATATAATGAAATTTTTTTCAAGCAACCATTTTTGTTCTACAAATCACCAAAGCCTTTATATTGTGTAAACTGCTTGGTTCTTCTGAAGCCTGTATGTTGACTTAATTTCTCAGATATTCAAACATTGTGTTCTTAGATTCAACAGGGAAATGTGGGCCTCCTCCCCCTATTGAAAATGGAGACATCACCTCCTTCCCATTACTAGTATACCCACCATCATCATCAGTTGAATATCAGTGCCAGGCCTATTATCTACTAAAGGGAGACAAGAAAATAACATGTAGAAATGGACAGTGGTCTGAGCCACCAATATGTTTACGTAAGTACCTCATTCTCATAGACTGTAGGAGTTCAGTTTCATGATATGGATATTTTTCTGTTAATAATAGAGCATTCACAGATTCAAAGCACTGTTTCACTTATTGCTTCAATGACAAACGCCAGCATGTGGAGAAAGCAAGATTGTTAGTTTCACTTCTATATACAAATAGTATAGTTGTCAAATAAAATTATTCATATTATTCTTTATTTTTTAGTTTTTACTAATGTGTATTAATGTCCATAAAACTTGGTGCCACCATACCTGCTGTCTCAATCAGTGCTCTATTGCTATGAAGTGTCACCATGACCATGGCAGCATTTTTAGACCTCTTATGAATTTTTTAATATTTTTATTTATTTTTTTCTCTCAAATACAAACTACAGTTCCCCCTCCCACTATTTCTCCCACCCCCACCTTCCTCAACCCACCCTATCCACTCTTCCTAAATGGTAATGCTTCCCATGGGGGAGTCAACAATGTCTGGCATATTAAGTTGAAGCAGGACCAAGCCACTCCCCTCTGCATCAAGGCTGACCAAGGCATCCAACCATAGAAAATTGTTTCAAAAAAGCCAGCTCATGCACCAGGTATAGATCCTGGTTCCACTGCCTCAAACAGACTAAGCTATACAACTGTAACCAATATGCAGAGGGCCTAGCTCAATCCGATGGAAGCCGCACAAGTGTCGCTCTAGAATTTGTGAGTTCCTACAAGCTTGGTTCAGCTGACACACATAAATCACCCTGGGAAGGGGAAATATATCAGATCTTCTAGGTAAACTGGAGGTAAGAGGTGATAGAAGGGAGGAGTTGGGAGATGAGAACATGAGGGAACTGGATGGTCATGTTGATGGAGGGACTGAGTGGGACAGCAATGAAAGAGATATCTTGATAGAGCTAGCCATTACATGGGAGAAACTGGTGCTAGGGGAATTCCCAGGAATCCAAAGGGATGAACCCAGTTCAGACTCCTAGAAATAGTGGAATGGGTGGGTGCCTGATCTGACCTTCCTCTGCAATCAAATTGGTGAATAACCTAACTGTCAGCATAGAGTCTTCTGTAAGGAAGAAGATGCAGAGATTCACAGTCAAGCACCAGGCTAAACTCTGGTAGTCCAGTTGAAGAGATGGAGGGGAGATTATGTAAGTAAGGGGGTGTTCAAGACCATGACAGAGAAATGTACAGAGATAGCTGGACCATGGCAACTCTTATAGAAGAAAACATTTAATTGGGGATTGCTTACAGTTTCAGATATTAAGTCCTTTATGGTCATTGTGGTGATCATGCTGGCACACAGGCAGACATGGTGTTGTGGGAGAGGAGTAGCTGAGAGGTCTGGATTACAAATTGAGTTTTGATATTCTGATCCCACCAGTAGTGTTCTTACTTCTTAGTGTTGCTTTTGACTACTTGTATTCTCTTGTGATTATGTAGGATTTCTGACATTGGTTTTTCATTAAAACTGCAAATTAACTTTCATAGTATATCTAATTTCCAAATGTTAATTCTGAAATATCTGCAACAGATTTTTAAAAGAGTTTTGCACATTCATTTGATTCTTCCCTATACTTAATTTATATTACTTCTGATCTTGTGGGATTTATATGTACTTAATATTTAATGTTGGTTATTCATTTTCGTGTTGTTGTTGTTTTTCAAGACAGAGTTTCTCTGTGAAGCTTTGGAGCCTATTCTGGCACTTGTTCTGTAGAGCAGGCTGGCTTTGAACTCACAGAGATCTAGCTGCCTCTGACTCTCGAGTTCAGGAATTAAAGATGTGTACCACCAATGCATGGCCCATTTTCTCTCTCTCTCTCTCTTTTTTTTTTTTTTGGTTTTTATGAGACAGGGTTTCTCTGTATTGTTTTGGAAGCTGTTTGTCCAGCCCAGCCTTGAACTCACAGAGATCCACCTGCCTCTACCTCCCAAGTGCTGGGATTAAAGGCATGTGCCACCACCACCCGGCTATTTTCATTTTTTAATGCTGCTCTATCTAGGACATATTTTAATAGGTAGCTATGTTAGAGATGCATTCATTCATCTTTCATTTTATTTTAGGATTTTGGTTTCTTTGTTTTTTTTTCTATTTTGAGTTAGAAATAGTGTATTATAGACTTTTATTCTTTATCTTTATGATATTTATTACAAACAACTTGTAAATAAAAAATCAAAATTAGACAGACTCAAATTTATACGCTGCTCTTATACAGATTTTTGAAGTAGTTTGAGAAATAATGCTCAAAGTTTAGTCTCTGTAGGTTTACATATTACTTAATGAAATTTGGAAATTTTTCTTTCAGATTCATGTTTCATATCAGAAGAAACTATGGAAAGATATAACATAATTCTCAAATGGAGAGAAAATCAAAAGATTTATTGCCAATCAGGGGAGAATGTTGAATTTACTTGTAAACCTGGCTATCGCAAGGGAAAAAGGTCACCTCCATTTCGTACAAGGTGCATTGATGGTCACATCAATTTTCCCTTTTGCACAAAATAATACAGTTATTAGAATTTATGAATGAGCCTCTATTTGGAAAGGCAAATGCATATTAATAATACAGTTCCAATTTACATTTGAAGTATTGTTTAACTCATTTCTTTTCATAAATATTAGCTGGTGTTGGTATACGGTGATGACTTTGGAACCTGAGAGACTGCTGCAAAATCAGCCATTCAAAACTCCTAAACCCAAATGTGATGTGTCTTGGCATAAAAATGAATACCAAGAAAACAGATGGGATTTCTTTAGTGTCTGTTTCCATCCACCACTTTCTCAAATCATCCTGGATACCTTTTGATCTAAGGTTATGATTTACAGTGAATGAAAGACACATTGTCTCAGTTGTCAAATTAATGTTATTTCACAAACATTACAACCAAACTGTCATATTTAGCATTACTAATGAATATAAGTAATTGCTACATACTACATTTATATCAATAAAGAAATATAAGAAACATTTTTCATATTAACGTCTAAATATATTATTTTGCAAATTGAAATATTCTAGCAATTATGCAAAGAATTAAAAATTAAACTGAGTATATTACTCCATAGCTGTCATAATATTAGCTTTAAAAAAGATAAATATTCTGTATAACTTATAAACAAGAAATGAATACATACATACTTTGTTCCCAAATTAAGAAAGAAAAATAATAATAAATATAATTAAACATAAAAACTGTATTTTTAGAGGTAATAGTGTAAGAAGTTGCTATTTACTATCTTTAAAGAGTTTTTAATTTACAGTGGAAAGACCTGACTTATTAGTGATAGTGGAAAAGTGATATTCATTCAGTAAATGCTGATTAGTTTTTCTTGGTATATATATATGTAAATGTAATATGACACTGTGAAAATGAACAGCGGTAACTCACCTTAGTTCTTGTTTAATCAATGTAATAAGCAGCATTTTAAAAACCCTGTGTTGCTGAATAGAACTTATCGTATTTTAAACAGATTTAAACCAACATTGCTTTCAGTGTACCTTGGTGTAATATCAGGATTGTCTAGAGTAACAGAAATTAAAAAATGAATCTCTCTCTCTATATATATACATATATATGATTTATTACAATGATTTACAGATTATAGCAATCATACAATGACTAGCTGTGAATGGAAAGTCCAAAAATCCAGTAGTTGCTCAGTCCAGAAATCTGTATATGTATGTCCTAGCTGGTCTGTAGTATACTTGGTAATCCCCAAGAAGCAGGCTTTAATGTCAGTGAAGAATGGATGTACTGGCAAGGTGAAGCCAAACGGGCAAAGAGAAAAAGCTTCTATAGGCTTCCAGTAAACATTGTAGCCCATAATAAAGGTATGTCTTTCTTCCTCAAGATTTGGTAGATAATAATACACCCAGGTCATCATAGGCAGCTCAGGTCACATGGTAACTTGGTGGCCCATTGTCAAAAGTTCTGTTTCCACTAAGACCCAACTGCAAGCCAAGAGCATTTTTTTGAAAGGAGAATTATTTGTCTGCAGATGATAGTAGAGCCTTGCTCCAAAATCTCAATGGTCTGTTTTATGATTCACATATACAAGCCTGCCAAAGGCTACAAAAAGCATCACTATCTACTCCTGATACCTCAAGTAAGGTCAAGTCTCACACAAGATGATGAGTTTTCCACCACAAACTGGGTTTGTGCCAAGTATGGTCAAAAGCTGAGTGCTTAGGTAGGGACTTGGGTAACTGGCAACTTTTGGGTAGGAAGCTGAAATAGCTGCCAAGAATGAGGAACTGAGCTTTTTGGCACCATTCCTTTGTTTGAAAACTCTCTGCGATATCTTATAATTTAGAGAGAGAAAGGGAGAATGGGGCTTCCAGGAATATTCAGGAGCAAACTGAAGCTCCAACCAAACCCCCATCCAGATACCAACAGAATTCTTTGTCATTTCTTTTTCTTCTTTTTTTTTTGTTAGACTTGATTTTTATATTTTATTGAAGACAGATTACTTTTTTTAAGGTCCCAAACCCATATGACATCAGATGAAAGTCATATTCTCCCCCAGAGAAAAGATACTGGAATAGCTAGGTAACATTTGCTATATAGGCAGTGTTTCAGGACCATCAGGAGTCCTTCAAAGTCCACTAATAATCATAACTTCTAATTTGACTCAAAGTCAGATTTCATAGATAATAAATGATCCAATGAGATAGATTTGAGGACATAGAACATAAATACAAATCACGGCTACAATGCCTGTATCTATTTGTATAATTAGTGATATATCTGCTTTTTTATTTTATTTTTTCTCAATATATGTTTTTATTTAAATTAGAAACATGAATATTTAACATGCAAGTCCCAGCTCCCTCTCCCATCCCTCCTCCCTTGTCCCTCCACCAGCACCGCAGTCCCCCACCCAATCCCCACATTATTCCTCAGGGAGGGTGAGGCCCTCCTTTGGGGGAGCTCTAAAGTCTGTCATTTCATCCAGGGCAGGGCTGAGGCCCTTCCCCCTGTGTCCAGGCTGAGAGAAAACAGATTACTTTTTATTATTAAATTCTGATTACAGATTCTTCTATCTACACCCCCAGTACCTTACAATCTCCCCTCCCACCTGGATTCACCCACGCTTATCTCCCATTAGAAAACCAATACAATCTATGGAATAAAAATGTGTAATAAGATAAAGCAAATCTACCACATTGGATGTGGACAAAACAAACACAGAGAAGGAAAATAAAACCAAAAAGAAGGCAGAAGAAACGGATAACAAGTCGCATGAATCACATAAAAAACACTAAAATGAAGTTATTAAGTTATTATATATACAAAGGACACTCTTTCTGCCTTCTCTTCTGAAGGGCTCATTGAGCCTAGAGGGGAGAAATTTGATGGGCACATCCCTTGTAAGGATGATTATACTAAGACCTCTGAATACAGTGTGGTTTTGCATTCTGTATTTGGTGTAGGAAGAAACTTCTCTGATAATAGCTAAGCCAGGCATTTATCTCTAAGTATAGCAGGATTCCATTACAAAGCCATTTTATTGCTACATTATTTCTTTTTTTAAATTTATTTTTCAGTTTAAATTTAGATAAGAAACAAGGTTGCTTCACAAGTCAGTTCCAGGTCCCTCTCCCTTTCCCTACCCTCCTCCCGTGCCCTCCCCCCCAACCCCCCCATTATCCCCTCATTTCCCCAGGGAGGGTGAGGCCCTCCATGGGGGTGTCCATAGTCTGTCATTTCATATAGGGCAGGGCCTAGACCCTTCCCCAAGAGTTCAGGGTGAGAGTGCACCTCACATTGTTGGATGGGAGTCCAAAGTCCATGTGTATACTCGGGATGGGTACTGATTTGCTGCCCAAGGCTCAATAGATTACCTAGGCCTCCTCACTGACACTCACATTCAGGGGGGTCTTGATCAGTCCCATGCTGGATTCCCAGGCTGATGCCTGGGATTCAAGAGTTAACCTTTGTCTGGTCAGCTGTTTCTGGGGGTTAAACCAGCCCGGTCTTAATCCCTTTGGTCATCAGTCCTCCCTCTCTGTTACTGGCTTTCTTGAGTTCAGCTCAGTACTTAACTGAGGGAGTCTGCCTCTTCTTTGATCAGCCACTAAATGACGTTTCTGTTTCCCAGACTCTCTGGCCATAGGATTGTAGGCTGGCCCTCCCCAGATCTATGTCTAAAATCCATATATGAGAGAGTACATACCATGTTTCTCTTTTTGTGACTGGGTTACCTCACTCAGGATGGTTTCTTCTAGTGTCATCCATTTGCCTGCGAATCTCAGGATTCCATTGTTTTTTTTCTGCTGAATAGTACTCCATTGTGTAAATGTACCACATTTTCTCTTTTCTTTTCCCCACATCTTTTTATTTATTGTGTGTGTCTTTCACATCATACACCTGAATCCCATTCATTTCCCCATCCATTCATATCCACTCTCTGCCCTTGCAACCCCCCCCAAATAAGGTAAAATAAAATGTAAGAGAAAAATGAAGAAAAAGAGAAGAAAAAAATCAATCTTGTCATGGAAGCTGTGGTGTGACACAGTGAACCCTGCATATTATCCATGTATCATTACCTGAAAGTGCTCATTGCAGAGTCCTGGCTCTGTTTTCTACTACTCTGTAGATGCTGGGACCTCACTGGGAATCCTCTTAGTTATCCTGTTGCTGCCTGTGTTGTGAAACTCCTGAAGCCTTGGGTCATCAGAACTGGTTCCTTCATGATCTCCAGCAGATTACAAATGGGCTGTGTGTTGGAGTATGCCACCACATAACCCCAGTTCTGGGCCAGAATAATTGTAGTGTCTGTCAGTCCACCAGCTTTCCCTTGTCCTCATCACCAACATAAACTCTCCTGCATTACAATATAGAGTTGGCCCTTTGTAGCAATGAGCAAGGGGCCAGACCATTTATCCTGTTTTCAAGTGATCAGGCCAGATCTCCCACACCTGCATCTCCAGGGTCAGTTCTACGTGTTGCCCAGGCCTGGCATAGAGGTCAATATCCTGAGAGCTGCAGCTGATGAGGAGCAGGGGCAGATCTCTTGTTTTTATCATCTTAGGGTCAGCCCCTGCCTGCCTCAGGTACTGATGGGCAGGGGGGGTGGGGGGAATCTCTCTCCTTCCCATGTTGCTACTTGACTGAAGAGTATTGGGGAACAACACTCCAATTCTCACAACTATGGGGATCGTTCAGTCACACCCTCACCAATAGGAATGGCTCTCTACTGCTGCCCAAGCAAGTTTCAAGGCTTATTCTCCTGTATCAAACACAATTTGTTAAATCCGTTATTGAGATAAGACCACTTCCACAATTTAAAACCAAATTTGCAGCATGCTTTAATTAAATATTGGCCAGATGGATAGACTCTGGCCAGGTCCATACGTAGGTTCCTGAAAAATGGCCCAGAATCAAGTATGGCAAGTGCTTAAGAAGGAAAACCCATAATTCATTGCATTTCCCACCATTTCCAATCCAGCACAAGCATCTTGATGTACCTCCAGTCTGTGAAGGTACCGCTCATATGAGATAAAGTACATAGGTGTAGATGGGTTAAATGAACTTATTTAGGGGAGTGAAAAACATGTGTCTTATTATCTTCCATAAACCATCA